TGCCACTGATTATTCTAGTCATGGGATCGTTGTCTATTTCTACGTAAGCTGCTAAACAATCCCTACTTCACCAAAAATATTCTTACGTCCAAATCATTTTGGCTGAACAAAAAAAAACTTACATCTTATGCTTTCTATAGTAGAAAAAGCAAATATGAGTAGCACTTTTGAAAAATTAGTAGCTTTCTGCATGTTTTTCTGCAAAGGAAATTAGCAAAATGAAAGATTTCGAACTTAAAGTGGTGAATCGAATAGAAACAGAATGAAACCGTATCACAGCTGAAACAGGGAATGAAAGACAGTTAGCTGAACAAGAGGAAAACGAAATTGAGCATTCAAAGCGATCTAAGTACTACATAGTGCACAAAATGGAGGAAGTAATGAAGTGAAAGAAGAGAGAGAAGGTGTAACGTTAGCAGAAAATAGTTGCCTCATGACGCAGGTAACACTAACATCGCTAACATCAAGCCATGAAATTCTTGAGGGTACTAGTTTCAATCTTTAAGTAAAGGGAACTACCACCAAATCATCGATGATGGATTTGATATAAAAGTATGTAGGAAGTTGCATATAGCCGAGGTATTGGTTATGGTATTAAACAGCAAAATCTTTTCAAAAATAAGATCTAAAAGCTTCTAATACTTTGAAAAGCTCAAAATTAGGAGACTTAAAAGAACGCTTTGAGCTTAACGCGCACTTTTTACGGGATTGTAATACCTCTCGAGAAAGTTTATCAGGTAAAAATTATTTGCAGTCATGCCTAACATCTTCTTCATCTAGAAAAATAGCAATGATATTGCTGGCAGACCAAAGAAAGCCAAGATGTTTAATCAAACATATACAATAGTGATGCAAGGCTAAGAAAAAAGGGACTTAAACAATGTGAGACTAACATAACCCTTACTCTTGCCATTCGAGCGCTAATATTAGTACTACACGGTTCCTAGATCCAAACATCGACAGTACAATATTCAATCGCATAATCAAATTCAAATTATATGAGTGCATCATCTCAAACCAAGAATTTTTTTTCCTTTCCCTTCTGTCTTCCTTCCCATCCTCTCTAATTACCTTACAAAAAGAAGGAGATCTGTTAAAAGC